TACTGGTTCCCACTCCAAAGCTCCCACGTTCCTTCCCCTGAAGGCTAATTCTCACTTTGATTTTTAAACACTAAGATCGAATTGGGAATTTTTAGTCTGTCACCCTAGAAATCTTAAATTCTACACCCAATAAAGTATATTTCCATATTTATTTGCACTCAATTCCATGAACGAAATACTCTTTCATGGACTTAAATGTAATTCTCACTTTGTTGTAGAACTCATACTCCGTTTCTCGGATCATATGTTCACAACATATTTTAACAATTCAATTAACCATATCAAAAAGTAAATTAAGAGCGAAGTTGAAAAACCATCACAATTTATTTTAAATTTTAACATTAGCACATCCACATTATCTCTTCATTTCACCATATCTCAGAGTATGGAGAAAGATATAGGAAACTACTCAGACTTCATGAGAAAGATACAACAAAACACAAATTTCATATATAAAAGAAAGTTCATCCAACAATAATAAACAAACAACACTTACCTGAAACTTTTTCTCAAAACAAATCCTTTGTAGTCTCTCTTAGGAAATGTAGGAAGAAAAAATCTCTCACTTCTCTTCCTCTTCAACACTTCTTAGAGAAGAATTCACACTTAAACTCACCACAAAAACTCAAAACTATAAAAACAATAACTAACTAATGGTGTTGAATGACGTGAAATGTAGGCGTGTGAAGAGGAAAACTGAAATGAGTGAAAGAATTAGAAATGGTGAGAAGGGGGTGGTTTTCTGATCAAATTTTGGCCATAAATAGAGCCTAGGTCGATTCTCTAATAGGTGCATCCAAAAACTCTTCAAAATGGTGCATCCAAGAACTCTTCCAAAAACGTACAAATTCGACGAATCCTCTAAAAATAGAAAATTCACAGAAATCAAACGAAATTTACTGTCATTAATTTTGAATATTTAAGATACTATCAAAACTAAATTATTTACTACTAGCAGAATTTAAAAGCAGGGTTTAAAATTAATAACTACTAAACTATATTTATGTGATGGAGTTTTCTAATATGAAAAAGCATCTTTCCCATTACAATGACTTTTTGGTGAAATGAGATAAGATAAATGATTTAAATATGTAAATAGGAGCAATTTTAATTCTCTACCCTAATTCAGCGTTATAGAACATCATTGGCTAATCTTAGGTTTAGTTTCTAAATCCGTGGCTAGGCTATGAAGATACTGGTTCCCACTCCAAAGCTCCCACGTTCCTTCCCCTGAAGGCTAATTCTCACTTTGATTTTTAAACACTAAGATCGAATTGGGAATTTTTAGTCTGTCACCCTAGAAATCTTAAATTCTACACCCAATAAAGTATATTTCCATATTTATTTGCACTCAATTCCATGAACGAAATACTCTTTCATGGACTTAAATGTGATTCTCACTTTGTTGTAGAACTCATACTCCTTTTCTCGGATCATATATTCACAACATATTTTAAGAATTCAATTGACCAGATCAAAAAGTAAATTAAGAGCGAAGTTGAAAAACCATCACAATTTATTTTAAATTTTAACATTAGCACATCCACATTATCTCTTCATTTCACCATATCTCAGAGTATGGAGAAAGATAAGGGAATCTGCTCGACTTAATGAGAAAGATACAATAAAACACAAATTTCATATATAAAAGAAAGTTCAT